AGGTTTTCCAAGAAACTTTAGGGGGTTTTGTGACATTTTGAAACTTTAGGGGGTTTATCTGTGAAATGCCCAAAGTTAAGGGCGGTTTTGTGAAATCTATCTTTCTTTATACTTAAAGGTGAAATTATGCAAGTATTTAAGTCATCTGCGTCAAGTAATTTTTTTTCTCAAGTGGTTCTGATCTCCATGTGCCTTCGCTTATTTATTTTTCTCCCAGAAATTCTATGGCTTACTAATTTTGAACTTACTTGGTTTTTTAGCGTCGCCTTAGCAACTTTGTTGACAAGGCTCTTGTGGAAGATGTTATCCCTATCCTTCTGGTCGCCTTCCACTCTCAGCTCAATCAGTTGCTCAGTCGCTGTATCCAAAGAGTAGCAAGGTCCAATTTTGATAATATATCTCTTGAGAAGGAGCTCCCTCATGAAGCTGTTCAAGAAATCAAAGCAATACGGAAAAAGTCCCAGGCTGATGATTCCATTGTTCCGGATATGGACCCTGTCCTAGAAAAAGGAATTAAAAGAATTCACAGGGCTCTCGATTCAGATGACGTTGAGCTTGTGAAGTTGCTGCTAACTGAATCTCATGTCACTTTGGATGATGCCACTGCTCTTCACTATGCGGCTGCTTACTGTGATTCCAAAGTAGTTGCAGAAATATTGGAGCTAGGACTTGCCAATGTAAATCTTAGGAATAACAGAGGATATACCCCTCTCCATGTTGCTGCGATGAGAAGAGAGCCAGCTGTTATAGTTTCCCTTCTTGACAAAGGTGCATCTGCATCAGAATTGACAAGTGATAGCCAAAGTGCTGTCAGCATTTGTAGGAGACTTACTAGGGCTAAAGACTATAACACAAAGACCATGCAGGGTCAAGAGTCAAATAAAGATCGAATATGCATTGATCTACTTGAGAGAGAGATCAGGAGGAATCCATTATCTGGGAATGAGTTTACAGCTTCACCGTTTTTAGCGGATGATGTGCATGCAAACCTTATATACCTTGAAAACAGAGGTTTGTTTCCTTTTCAGCTTTCAAGTCATTCTAAATGTCTATGTTCGCTACATATTACAAGCCTGACCGGGTTTTGTTCTTTACAAGCATCCAACGAAGTAACATTGCCACCAATTATTACTTTGGTTATCATTTTTGCTGCCAATTATACTTTAATTATCATCTTCAGTTGTCAATTACATTCTAATCATCATTGCTGACAAGTGAGAAACCATTGGGTTTCTTTTATTCTATTCTCTTTTGAGAAAAAAAAGTAGTGCAAAATCTTTTGTTTCTTCATTCTGGCCTTTTGATTTAATGTTTTTCTGGTTTTTTACTTTGCTTACCTTTTAATTGTAATGAAAGTTCCCCTCTGTTGACTATTTTAGGTCCAAAAGTATTGCGGACAGCTTAGCACAATAGATTAGAGCTATCTTTCAGTTCTAATAAAAAGAATTAATTGGTTGAGAAAAGGTGACAAAGCAAGGAACTTCATCTGAGATGGTTTTTTAATATTGTTGGTAGTTGGTGTGCTTGTTAGTCCTTAATGCCTTACTGTGATTACAAGCTTAGGACTCATGATGCCTATAAATCCGTGGATCTTTAATTCTTTATGCATTATGCAATTTATGGCTTTTGGAGGCTATGCTCTCATGCGAGCGTTATGTTTGGACTATGAGGATTCAATACAGGAAAAATATTTAAAGTTCTTATGTGAGGGGAAAAAAGAAATCATATTTCATCTTCTAATCTTTCAATCCTCACGTATTTGACCTCCTTTTTTGTTGTCCATCTCCTCTCTTCTACAATGTAACAGGACTTCAAGGTGATCATTGCTATTTCGTGTGCACCTATCTAATCTTGGGTTCTTGAGATATTCGTCCCCCAAAGCTTATGTATTTTGAAATAGGTCCCCCAAATCTTAATTATGATATAAGTTCCCAAAAGCTCATATATACACCAAATCGGTCCCTGTAGTCTATATCTGTGAGTTTAATTCTTTAAAAGGTAATGACTGTTAGATTCTTCACTTTGCGGTTATACCCATCTCCTTCCTCTCAAATCCAGCATACATCTAGCCAAAAACTCTCTCCAAACCCATTGAAAATCTCTAGCTCTTGAAGACTCAAACCCCGCTAGCATACACGTAGTGGAATGTTTTTGTCTTCTTAAGTGAATCATCCCAATATCATTTTCCCAGGGGAACCGTTCCAGCATCCCTTTTCATTCTCTAAGCTGTTGGCCTTTGCCTGCTCAATAAACAATATTAAAAACTTTGAGCAATGAAGAAGGACTCAACAATCTAGCTAAAAGTTGAGTTATTTAGCATAGGTATGGCGAAGTAAGTCATTGCAGACAAAGTGCTTGTGCGCTTGGTGAAGTTAGTTGCAAAATGAAGCCTGTACAGGTTGGCGAGCTCTTTGGCGATGAACTTGATGATCACAGTCGTAGTATTCAGTGCACTGTAAACAAAGTGGGTTTTTTCCCCTTCCTGAATTGTTGTTTAAAGTCGCTGGCGTAATGTGATGATGACCGGCCTGTTAAAAAGTGGCTCGCAAATGTTGTTTTCATGAATTAATCTCTGGAAGCACTTCGCTGGAGCAAGAGCTCGGACTGAGTAGCCGATGTGCGCCAGAGAATGGTGGCCAAGACTCCATTGAAGGAGAAGAGGCTAGTAATGGGTTTTTAAAATAACTAAATCCAAATTTCCCTTTGTAACTAACGGTCAACTCAAGTAGGTTAGAGACAAATGGATTTTAACCCAACTCCAGTTATTTTCTAACAGACTTAAGACTGGAACGACTGATTTGGTGAAACTTTCATGAGTTTTGGGGGGCTTGTCTCATAATATTGAGATTTGATGGACCTATTTCAAAACATAAGATTTGATGGATCAATATCTCAAAAACACTTAAACATATATCATAACCATTTATAGTTGCAAAACATTTGTGAGGTATTTTTCACTTGTTGAATGTTTAAACCTTTAATTCTGTGCTCATTTGCAGATAATCATGATTTCTTTTGTAGTTCTTATTTCCCTCTCCCCCTTTTTGCTCTCATTGTACAAATGGATTCTAACATCAATACCTGTAACAATTTCAGTTGCATTTGCGAGAATTTTCTTCCCGGCTGAAGCAAAGCTAGCCATGAAAATTGCACAAGCAGAGGCGACATCCGAATTTGCAGGTCTTGCAGCTTCAAGGAGTTCTGGTAACCTGAGGGAGGTTGATCTCAACGAAACACCTTCAGTGCAAAATAAAAGGTTACGGTCAAGGGTTGATGCTCTCATGAAGACAGGTAATATTTATTAATAATTCTTAGTAGACTCTTGGCCTTTATGGCTAGAATAACCTGCACAAATTTCTGAATGCTCCTTTTGCGGTGCACAAGTTTTAAAACTTTTAGAACTTTTTATATTTTAGAAAAGTTGCTTGTAGCTAGTAAAACACAATGGCCTGCTCTAGGAGCTATGAACCATCACTCCATGAATCAGCTTTTCAATGGTATTGCTACCAGTATTAACTCATTTCGAAGTGCCTATTTATAAGCTAGTTTCTATTGAGCATTACTAGATTTTTCTTTATTTTTAACTTGCTTTTATAATTTATCTTCTGATATTCATATACTGCATTTCATTAATGATGCCTATTCTTCCATGACCTGGTTCCTAGCTTTTATGATTTTTTTTAAAGAAACTATAGATTTATGTCCTCTACATCCTTAGTTTGTGTTCATGCTTCAGTAACTAAGCCTATCCTATAGAACAGTTTTAGATAACATATACTAATAGTGCTTTGCATTGTATTGATCTGAGGTCAGTAAGAAACAACTTTATTTATTTGAAAGTGTTAATTGCAGATAAAATTTAAAAAACAAATTAAAAAGGGATAATTGCTGATTCACACCCTGCCCCTAAACTATTTTATTAGCGTTACACATCTTAGCATAGAAGACACTAGTTTTTTGCCCTCAATTTCGGGCGCAATTTATCAAACTGAGGGCAAAGAGTAATTGTTGTTACATTTCAGCCAAACAGGGACACATGTTGCTGCCTGGGGTTCATGGGAGTGCAACTGCTAATAAAATAATTTAGGGATACTAGTTGCATTCTCATTTTATAGGGGTGTATCTACTGCTTGGAGTTCAAGGGGTGTGTAAGTGCTAATGAAATAATTTTGGGGATATAATTTACATCCTTATTGTATGGGGGTATATCTGCAATTAACCCATTAAAAATTAAATCCAGTATGCAACATATTAAAACCTGATTCCTGATCAAATATTGAAAACATGATATATGACAGTGGGGCTGGGCCATCGTTATTTCCCACATTGCTCCAAAGTGCTCGACAAATTCTTGGAGGACGACCATCCTGACTTGTTCTTCCTCCAAAAGGGCACTCCGGATGAGCAAAGGATCAAAAGGATGCGCTTCTGCGAGCTCAAAGACGACGTTCTTAAGGCTTTCAGAAAAGATAAGGCCGTAAGTGGACGCTCTGGTTTGGCTTCATCCTCGTCCTCATCTTCGTCACAGAAGGGCGAAGGCAAGCAACACAAATCTACAAGAAAATAATGTGAAGTTGTTTGTGTAATGTTATGTACAATAGATGTCAAGATGATAGGAGAGGGGTATAGGACTATATAGGCTGTAATTTTGACATGTTTTGTTTATATGGATTTGAGATACACTGGGAAGATTATGGACATTGGGGGATGACAAAATGGGTTCTTACGCTTTACTGTTGCTTCCAATATTATCGTTTGCAGGTGTTAATTCTTGAATAGGTGGCAGTTGCTCAATTTAACATTACATATTGCTAGATATGCTATATCAATCTTCTGTACTCAATATCATTAAATGTGCACCCAAAGGATATCTAACACTAGATCATTAAACATTATGATTCGTATACAGATTTAAGAGTTGGATATTCTTTTGAGTGTACATTTAATATCACATTTAATATCACGTACCGATTGTTAGAATATACTTTTAAGGTTCCCTGTGATTGGGTTATCCATTCTCCTGAGACTGACAGAATTTGGAATATGTGACATCACAAAATGTACTTTCTTTGAGTTCCCAGTGGAGAGAAGTTTCTGTTCTTCGTAGACTAATTTTTATTCTCTTTTGTGTGTAAGCGGCACGTTCACAAAGTGAAGTATAATGTGGTCAATATATGTGTACTTTTTCAAAGAAAAGTAGATTCTCGTTGTTCATGTTTGAGCTTAGTGGTGGCTTTACATAGCTTTGAAGCTATTCAATTCGTGGAAAGGTGACGAAGGTTATAAGATCCCGCCTTTATGTCTTTGTCTATAGTTTGATGACCAACATAAAAGTTGTTTGGGACCATTTTTTTTTATTTTTATTTTCTAAATGTGCATATGATGATACCCTGCAACTTCAAAGCCAAAGAACTAGCAAACGGTGCAGGATGTTAATATTTTTTCGTTACGTTCGCATGAAGGAGAGGCCTTTGGCCAGAATTAGAGGCTAGCTTCCAGTTCCATCTATTCTTCCAAACGCTCATTCTCTTTTTTCAAAACATGGATTGTACGTGTCAACAAAGAAAATGACATGCAAAATGATGTTTTTACTTCTCTCTCTCTTAAAAATTATCCTTTTTTAAAGGAAAAAATGACCTAACGCGGAAGTGATAACATCGGAATCCACCAAGGGTGTTCTCTGAATCCACAAAGAACGATCTTCAAATCCACAAAGAAAATATTGAAAAGAGAAATTTTATTGATGAAAAGTTATTCTTCTTTTGGGTTACACGACTCTTCTTAAATAGAAAAATAAATAAGACTCCTAGTAAGACTAGAATTATAAAAATAGAAAGTATCAAATAAGACTCCTAGTAAGACTAGAATAAAAAAAAGTGTCAAATTCTATCCTAAAAAGACTTCTTATAATAGAGGAAACAAATCATGAATCAAAATTGATTTTGTTTCCTAATCTAATTTGAATCTAAAATTGAATTTATTTCCTAATCTAAATAGACTCCAACTCAGAGTAATTAAGCGTCCTACATCAAAAAGTATAGAGGGCTTATTACAGGGAGGAAAAAAGAGCTCACCAGACGCTCTTTATAAAAGTCATGTTGGGAGGAATGGTTTCCATTAATTTTAATTTTTAAATTAGTACAATCAATCTAAAAATCAGCGCAATGAAAATTAATATAATCAAAGTATTGTACTAGCATAATGACCAACGTTATATCCATGCGATCATATTGTTGTGCCAAATCAACCACCAACTTCAAAATATACAATCATATTGTTGTACCAATCCCCATCACAAAAGGATGCGCTTCTGCGAGCTCAAAGACGACGTTCTTAAGGCTTTCAGAAAAGATAAGGCCGTAAGTGGACGCTCTGGTTTGGCTTCATCCTCGTCCTCATCTTCGTCACAGAAGGGCGAAGGCAAGCAACACAAATCTACAAGAAAATAATGTGAAGTTGTTTGTGTAATGTTATGTACAATAGATGTCAAGATGATAGGAGAGGGGTATAGGACTATATAGGCTGTAATTTTGACATGTTTTGTTTATATGGATTTGAGATACACTGGGAAGATTATGGACATTGGGGGATGACAAAATGGGTTCTTACGCTTTACTGTTGCTTCCAATATTATCGTTTGCAGGTGTTAATTCTTGAATAGGTGGCAGTTGCTCAATTTAACATTACATATTGCTAGATATGCTATATCAATCTTCTGTACTCAATATCATTAAATGTGCACCCAAAGGATATCTAACACTAGATCATTAAACATTATGATTCGTATACAGATTTAAGAGTTGGATATTCTTTTGAGTGTACATTTAATATCACATTTAATATCACGTACCGATTGTTAGAATATACTTTTAAGGTTCCCTGTGATTGGGTTATCCATTCTCCTGAGACTGACAGAATTTGGAATATGTGACATCACAAAATGTACTTTCTTTGAGTTCCCAGTGGAGAGAAGTTTCTGTTCTTCGTAGACTAATTTTTATTCTCTTTTGTGTGTAAGCGGCACGTTCACAAAGTGAAGTATAATGTGGTCAATATATGTGTACTTTTTCAAAGAAAAGTAGATTCTCGTTGTTCATGTTTGAGCTTAGTGGTGGCTTTACATAGCTTTGAAGCTATTCAATTCGTGGAAAGGTGACGAAGGTTATAAGATCCCGCCTTTATCGTGGAAAGGTGACGAAGGTTATAAGATCCCGCCTTTATGTCTTTGTCTATAGTTTGATGACCAACATAAAAGTTGTTTGGGACCATTTTTTTTTATTTTTATTTTCTAAATGTGCATATGATGATACCCTGCAACTTCAAAGCCAAAGAACTAGCAAACGGTGCAGGATGTTAATATTTTTTCGTTACGTTCGCATGAAGGAGAGGCCTTTGGCCAGAATTAGAGGCTAGCTTCCAGTTCCATCTATTCTTCCAAACGCTCATTCTCTTTTTTCAAAACATGGATTGTACGTGTCAACAAAGAAAATGACATGCAAAATGATGTTTTTACTTCTCTCTCTCTTAAAAATTATCCTTTTTTAAAGGAAAAAATGACCTAACGCGGAAGTGATAACATCGGAATCCACCAAGGGTGTTCTCTGAATCCACAAAGAACGATCTTCAAATCCACAAAGAAAATATTGAAAAGAGAAATTTTATTGATGAAAAGTTATTCTTCTTTTGGGTTACACGACTCTTCTTAAATAGAAAAATAAATAAGACTCCTAGTAAGACTAGAATTATAAAAATAGAAAGTATCAAATAAGACTCCTAGTAAGACTAGAATAAAAAAAAGTGTCAAATTCTATCCTAAAAAGACTTCTTATAATAGAGGAAACAAATCATGAATCAAAATTGATTTTGTTTCCTAATCTAATTTGAATCTAAAATTGAATTTATTTCCTAATCTAAATAGACTCCAACTCAGAGTAATTAAGCGTCCTACATCAAAAAGTATAGAGGGCTTATTACAGGGAGGAAAAAAGAGCTCACCAGACGCTCTTTATAAAAGTCATGTTGGGAGGAATGGTTTCCATTAATTTTAATTTTTAAATTAGTACAATCAATCTAAAAATCAGCGCAATGAAAATTAATATAATCAAAGTATTGTACTAGCATAATGACCAACGTTATATCCATGCGATCATATTGTTGTGCCAAATCAACCACCAACTTCAAAATATACAATCATATTGTTGTACCAATCCCCATCATCTATGATTTTCTATATAGTGTCTTCTATGGTATTTCTTTTCCTAATAAATCATCAACAATACCTACCAGCTGATCCTACTTTTGGTAGGGTAGCGCCTTCATGGGTGGGTCCAGGGGAGTGGGGATCATGCGGTGCGAGGTGCAACAACCACACGTGATCCCGTCCAACCTTGCATTCAACAGGGAAGTTAAAGGCAGAAAATGATGTCGCCATCCCCATCCATAGACCTGGATGTACACAGTACACTGACCTCTCACCCCCCCCAACTCTGTTTATTATTCAATGATCACTGTCTATCGTATATTATTTTTTTGAACTGAAAGAAAACATGGAGAAATTCCCTGTTCATAATATATACAATCTTACCAATTCGTATAATTTACAAAAAAGAGCAACTTTGTGAGGAGAAAAGACAGGACTAGTTAAGCGATAGGGAGCGAACCTTGTCGTCACCTATCAGAACAACAAGCCAATGATTCTGCCCTCACAACTAGTTGAACTACTATATCACAAACAAACTATCAAAGGAAAGAAAAAACCAAAACATAGAGTTTGAGGAAGAAAAAAATCATCAAAAACAACCCCACGAGACCCAAAAAAAAAAAGAGAAGAGGAAGACCGAGACTTTGCCTTCTAAATAGGGGGGAGCCGATTGTCTCCCTAAAAGTTGTCACCTGCAACATCGCCATTATTCTTCTTCGCGGTTTCCTGGAACTCCAGCTTGATGACAACCCTACGAATTCTTCTTGTCATTCTATCTTCTTCATTCCCATCTATAGAAGAGTGTATCTATTGTATATTATAAATTCTAGGATTATTTACATCCTGGTAGGATGTGCTTTAGTATAACTGTACTGGTGACTCTACTGTTTAAGTAGCTACTCGAATAATTTGAGATTACTACCAAAATTACATGGGTAAACACCCCCACCCTCACCCCCACCCCCAAACCAAAATTAGGGCTACCTATGTACACTCAGCCAGTAATCTCAGGTTTATCCATGCGTATACACATACCTCATGGTCATCTGTGTACTCACACTATACTACAAGGTGTTGCGATATAAATAATCCTAAATTATATCATAAAAACACATAATATTTTTTTGGGTCAGTACAAGCGAGGGTTTATTAGATATTATTTTAAGGCTTAGTTCCCTTTAACTATGTTGAGTTCGTGATGACTCAAGTCAGTTGAAAAGCATGATTGGGTTTGGATTCTAATTAGGATTAGTTATACTATCCTAATTAGGATTGGTTTGAAAGAATTAATTGAATTGGGAAATCCAATTAGGATTCAAGTTAGAGTTCTAATAGGATTGAGCAAAAAACAATCTATATATATTGTATCAATCCATGGGTTTAACAACAACAAAATAAGAAAAAAGAGAGATCTATATTCCACCATTGTTAGGGTGTGTAGTTTTAACCTCTTGTAATCTCTTCTCAAAAAGAATTAAGATCTTCCCTCTTCTCCCCGTGGACGTGCACGGATCATCTTGATCACGTGGAACCACGTTAAATCTTGTTATTTGTTATTTGTTATTTGTCTTGATTACTTGGTAGATTTGGGGTTTCCTGATTGTTTAAGTTTTATCTTCCGCGACTTGCATACTCCAACAAACTACCCTATAGTTTTCCCTACTTTGCACTTATATATCCTCTTCACTTGTTTTTGGCAGCACTGATATATCCTACGCTTTCTAAAGTTTTCACCTAAATATATTCACTCATGCAAACACAAGCAGTTTCCCTTGAAAATTCTCATGTGCCACTCAAATACTAACTTTAGAACTTAGCGTCTCTTATTACTTGTTAAATTTACTTTTAAGAATACATCTAAACTTCCCCCAATTCTATTTTAAATTAGGATTTTAGTAGGTTTGATAGAAAATTTAACAAATATTAAGATTTAAAATATTCTAAACTTAGCTGTGAATGTCTCATGAGAATTTTTTTTTTTTTTTGGGGGGGGGGCTTTTCATTGAATAACTGAGGCTATTTAAGTGAAAATTTTAAAATTTTTAGGGTATATAAGTGTTGCAAAAAATAATTGAGGGTATACAAGTGCGCACTAAGTGAAACTATAGCGTATTTAAGTGCTATTAAGCCTTATTGAATGGTAAACTTTAATAACTCTAAAAGTTTAACCCATTGTGAGAACACAAAAAACTTTTAAAAGTGTTGCATACACAAAAAGGTTGTGTCAAATAACCCCCAATTTATCAGATAATCCCTATCTGACACAACTTTTTAATGTTAAGTAAAAAAATTTAATAGTTTTTTATTTTATCTCAAAATGAGTCAAACTTTTGGAAGGTAGTGTGGATTTTATGTTGGATCTGAGATGCGAGCCTAGAGGAGGAGGAAGGAGGGTGATTGAATAGGTTTGCTACTGTTTTTTGCTAACACACAGAATTTGTAGCGGAAATATAGAAAAATAAAGGCGAACAACCAAACTAAAAACCAACCAAGGACACGTAAGATTTCTATAGTGGTTTGGATAACAATCCTACGTCCATCATTCCTTCTCATGAATGAGCTTTCTCACTATGCTAAGAGTTCTCCTAAATCACAACTCGATTCAATAAGCTTATAATGACTGTACCTTAAAATCTATTCAAAACCAGTTGTGTAACCTAACTTTCCAAAATGAGTAACATCTAGTCCTAGCTAGTACCAACTCTCAATTAACACCGGCTTGAGTACGCAGTAGACCCTCAATTAACACTAGTCTGAGTACACCGTAAACATAAGTTTGAAATAAATTATTAAAAATAGCTTAACTATAAAATCAGAAAGATCTTGCAACCCTTTTGATTAGCAAACCATTCATGAAAAGATTGAAGCAAAGCTCAATGAAGAAAGATGTAGATGTTAAGTCTAAGGATAACTCCTCTTGCTAAGATGGTTTGAAGATGTGAGTGTGACGAGAAAGAGTTTATTGAGGTCCTGGGGTTTCAAACCTCTAATGCAAACTTCTTCTCACAAACCCTAAAAATTCTCTCTTCAAGTTCTCTCCAAAAACTCTCTTTTTTTAAACCCTAGAGCTCTTGTCAAATATCATCTCTTTCAACCTTATATAACCTCTCATAAATTAGGAAAGAGATATCCAAACCATAGTGAAAGTTGGAGATGAAAGGGATCAACAAACAAATGTGATTAACTCTTTAAACCTACCAAATACCATCTTTATCATAGATGGTTCCTCACGGCCATCGGTGATTCCCTAAACACCATCGATGGGTGTCTGTAGATCATCGATGGTTTAATCTTGAGTTTCTGAAAATATGCAATTGGTCACTGTACGCTATTGATGGGGTGTGGTGACCATCGATTGTTTCCTATAGACTATCGATAGTTCGAAATCAAATTCTCTAAATTTCTATGATTGTTCGTTGTACACCATGAT